TATAAATATAAATATATATATATATATATATATATATATATATATATATAACTAATAAAAATCATTAACATACAACATAAATAGATTCCTCTAACTTATTCATGTTCACCATTTCATCAATCAAACAACAAGAGATTCCAAAGTAAATCACATTTGATGCTACACACCTACATCAAATGCCATCGAGGTAGGGGTCCTCTACCTCGTCCACATTCAACACCATTCGACCTGCATCCGACGTGGATGAGGTAGAGAACCCTTGGACCCTTATGTCTAGTGTGACAAAATCAACACTCGACCCCAAATCAGGCAAAGACGAGTCTTTCATCTCACATCTGATGTCACTCCATTGGCACCCAATGTCAATTTAGACATAACTAATTTTCTCACCTCACGCCCAATTCCATTCAAATCATGCTTGACATAACCAAGTCAGAGGTTTTTCTTTCTCCTTAAGCTTGGAGCCATCAATCCTATGTCTGACGCAAGTAAGATAGAGACTTCCTAATTTGAGCTACGCCAATGCCTTGAAGGTATGCCTGGTGGGATAATGAGTTCTACACATAACAGGCCACAAATTTTCTCTCATTTCACTTGAAAACCAAAAAATTGAAGCATGCAACAACACAATTCATACATACCCATCATGAACAACTTATATCTATCCTCAAAATCTACATGCAACATACAACTTGATCACAACATCAAACTTTACCTCAAGAACAACAAAACACCATTATCACCTTATTTCTTAAAATCAGTCAATACAACCACCAAGATATGAAATTCAAGCACCCATCCAAGTGAAAATCAACATAGACCATACCCAAACAACAAGGGTTGAGACTAGCTTCCTTTACCTCATAGTTGAAGTGATCCAAGAAAGGAGAAGAAGAAAGGAGCGTCTTTAAGCTATCATCGAAGCTCGACACTAACACCAACTTGATTCTCAACTTCTAGAAGGTTGTGAATAGTATAGGAGGAATCTATTTATGTAAAATATAAACTAATGTTCGGTAACAAAAGAAATGTAAAGCGTTTGCTTTTGATTTTTGTTGATTAAAATTCATACTTAAGAAGCCAAGGATTAAAGTAAACCAAAGGAATCGAAAGATCAACTAAAGGAGAACCAAATCATTGTCCTATGAATTCATCCTGTCTGCAAGGACAAAGTTCATGCTGGTTGATCATTGAGAAAAATTAGACAAGGGATGTAAGAAATTGAACATCAATATGCATATCTTATGAAAATGTTCAACTCAAGATCTTATAAAGAAATAAAACAAATTTAATTAAGGTGATCCACCCAACAAAGTTTTTATATATGGGGGTAATGCACTTGCTTCAAAAAGGAAAAAAAAAAATCAAACTTCATTTACTAGAGAAAATTTTATTGAAAAAACAATGATCAAGATTTGTGCATATAATTTCTTAGAGAATGAACGAGAATAAACACACACAAAAGAAGAAAAAACCTACAAAACATGATGTTTGTGAGGAACATCATGATCGATATTATCAATATCCTTGATTATATCACAACAATGACATGAAAAATGAAAAGGGAGAATAAGGGTCTGATTGTAATTCATACCAGCTTTAGAATGATCAGAAGCTGATGCTAGGAAGGAAGTGGAATGGAGAATAAGCACTAGGAAAAGCAAAGAGAAGAAATTGGGGCGTGCGGGGAGGATCATTGTGCTGCTATTGGTCTTTAAATGGCAAGTGAAATCTGAACATCTATTGCATTTGCATGTGCATGTGTGTATCTATATATATAAAATGTTGTGACTCTTAATTGTCTGCTTATATATGCTTTGAAGATTTACAGGAATCTGATAGCTCTAATTGAAGGTTGTCGTTCACGCTTGCCATGTAATGTGCCTACTTTCACGTACAAGTTATGAGTACTGCACAAACCAAAAACGCCATTGTTATTATTGGTATTTTGGTAACTTATAATTGGTTACTTACATTACGTTGGTTTATTATGGTACGGTTAAGCTTTCTAAGACTCGAGTGTGTTTCTCGAACAATTCCTATGAGAATGTTTAATGAAAATGAGAGACGACAATTATAAATTTAAATAGTATTGGTTTAAGAATCATTAATTCTACATGAATGATTAAGATTAAAAAAGATATATAAAGACCAAAGGTCATTAAGATACCTATTTTCTTTAACTAAGAACGTATGATCACAACTTAGATATAAAATCACAATCGGATGTATCATTTTATTCTTATAAAAATTAACCAATGAAAATGAGTTATACCAATTTTTTATTTTATTTATAAATATAATTCATGTAATATTTTATTGTTGATAATTAAGGATTAATTTATACTTACAAAATATGTCTTTCGTTAATTAAATATTATTTTAATATAAAGTACCTATAAGTTTTTTAATTTGTCATGCGCAATTACATAACTTAGAATCTTTATAATTAATTTATGTATAATTGTGTGATTTATGTTTCAGGATTTTATTTGACAATAATCAAGTATTTTGTATAGTAAAATAAAATAGAATTAATGTAGAATTCGATCTTATTATTGAGGCTTTTTGGCCCAAATAAAGAAAAAAAAATTAAAATGCATAAAATAAATTTAAAAATTAACATTTTACCAAAATAGGTTGAAACAGCGACGTGGCACCGCGAACGGAAAGCGCAGGAGGGTGGGAGATGGTCGTAATACACAGAAAGCGCAACCAGTTTATGCGCCATGTATGACAATCTTGCATGAAGTACAGTGATCCAGTTTTTGATACAAGGCGCATGGAACCGCTGCGATTTCAAAAAAAAAAAAAAAAAATTTCAACATCTAGTGCAGTACCCATCAAACCTAGAGAAAAAAAAAAATCTGCAAGTCAAATTGTGAGTTATTATAAGTGTGTGTAAAACATTTTTTTCTTTTTATAATAATTATTAATGGTTAATTATCAATGAGTATATATTATTTACGTTTCTGTTTATAATTAATAATTGTTATTTAATATTTTTCTATAACTGACATTCTGTTCTAATTCAGTCTCTTAATTTAAGATTAATTAATATAATTAATAATATATATAATTACTGATAAAAATATCAATTACAAAATATTACTAATAATATATATAATTAATAATACTCTATAATATTATTAATTAATAATTATTAATATTTAAGGTTTAGTGCCTACACTAGACGCGCCTTCTATGTATTATAAATATCTCCCACCCTCCTACGCTTTCTGTTCACGGTGCCACGTGGCCGTTTCAACCTATTTTAGTAAAATGTTAATTTTTAAATTTATTTTATGTATTTTAATTTTTTTCTTTATTTGGGCCAAAAAGCTTATTATTGACCACTTTAATATTGTTATTAATATTTTTATCATGCCTATTCAATCTCTCCAATGAATAGTCTTATGGCTCTTATTAAAGAGTGATGAAGTTATTTTATGATATTTGTCTAAGGATTATTTTTATAAAGTTATTACACAAAAGTATACTTCATAATAATGAAATATTGACTGTTTTGAGCCTAAGTCTTCACAGTTTTATTTGACCCAAATGTTTTTCTAACATTGGAGTATGTATGTGTTTTATAAGTTATTATTTTTTCTCTTATTTTATTGATATAAGACTTGTTTGTATCCAAAAAAAATGTAGCTAAATATTTTGTATTTTTTTTTGTTATACTGCATGAGCCGCTTTGAGGCACATCAGTACTTTAATTTTTTTTTCTTTCTTTTGTTATACCAGCATGAACCGCTTTGGGGCACAACAACACTTTAAAAATTTTAAATTATTATATGTTATTTAATTAATTAAACTTGTATATAATTTATTTTTATAACAAATCAATTTTTTTTTAACTTAAATTATATATTTAAATTATAAAGAATTTTTAAAACTTTTTAAAATGACATTTATTTTATAAACAATTTTTATAATTTTTAATCATATTTTTTATTTATACACAATTATTAATTTACCCACAATTTTTTTAACAAACAAAAAATATGCTATTATAACAAATCAAAATTAAAATAAAGATATCCTGGGCACGATTTTATGGTAAAAAAAATTATGAATTCCATTTAAAGTTATTATATTTATATTAAGATTAGGTAGGATGTCATGTTAAAGTCAAAGTTAACTACTAACTATTAAAAGATTTTTAATAAAATTACAAATTGTGTATCACAATTTTAGCATAAATTTGTATGGAATGATATAAAATACAAAAAATTGGATTCCATCTAGGAATTTAGCTAAAAGGGATAAAAAAAACTTAACCAGTTAAATTATCCTTACAAAATAATTTTTTTAATTAATAAAAAATATTTAAAGTATGTAACTTATTTATATCACGAGTTTAACTTATGTGTTTATAATATAATTTTACATAATCAAAAGTTTTAGTAATTCAACACTTTGTTTTTCGATAAAAATTGAGATTCAATCTCTAGTTTAAGTATGAAGCTGAAACCCAATATGCAACTTTATTTATATAGTCTAATAATTCGATGTGAGAGTTATATGTCTTAAAATTATATTCTTTCAGTAAAAAAGTATATTTTACATAATTATTTAATAAGAATTCACCGTATTGATACATTATATTAATGAATAGTTATGGTAAAATAGTTGAATTTTATTAAATATTTTTAAAAAAAATTATCTTGACGATATATTTAAATTAAATTCAGAGAAAATGTACCAAAAAAAAGTTAAATTCATAGAATAAATAGAATTCGGTATTTTGCTAAATAAACTTAAGACTTAATTTCAGACAAGTCTATCTTTCTCTCAAAAAGACGAAGATTTTCACCACGTAGTAAGTAGTAACGCAATTCCTTTTGCTGGACCAAGAGAATTATTAAATATGATAATTTTAAGGCTGATGATAAACACACCTTCACTCTCGTATAAATACACCTCCTTTTAAAAAAAAGATATATAAAATATCTAAATTATCCTTAAAAAAACAAAATTTCTAAATTTACACTACCTTCCCCACACCCCACCCTGTTCCTCGCACTCCCCTTCCCCTAACCCCACACCCCCCTTCCCCGCAATATATAATAAATAAGAGTAGCAATTACCAACAAAATACCATACTCTCTGGACTGGCTTTCTCCAACCAAGATAGGGTTCCGCTAGGACAGGTCTAAATGCGCTGGATTGATGCACCGGTAGGGGGGAGGACAGCCTAGCCGTCGGGGGTTCTTCCATCATATCAATAAAGCTCAGTCTCCCAACAGCAACAACCAATCCGGGCGGGCGGAATGGCGCCTATACTCGGTCAATGGAGTCCACTGCTGGGACTGGCATTGGATTCGGCCGCCAGTTGTTTTGCTATTGGTGGCACATGGTCCCTGTATATGGAACTGGTCAGAGAACGAATAGACGCGGGATCGATCTATAGGCTCCGAATATCAAGTTTTGGATCTCTCTAACGGGACTGGAACGGGCGAAGCCATTGGATTGATTGGGCGAGTTAGCCCAACAGGAATGTGGTCGTCTAGATCGTACCTGCGGAAAGATTAGGTGGACCCCTATACATTCATTGATTAGACCGAAACCAATCGAAGCCATGTGATCGATCGAGCTACCCGCATTTTTGTTTTGCTTTATCAAGCAGGGGCTTAGCCGCTTTTTTATATTTCTTATATTTATGGGGAAAAAAAGAGACAAAACGTCGCTAAAAAGCCCTATTTATGTATGTGGAAAGTCTATACTTAACACACCGACTCAATTTGAAGCTGAATCCTCACAAGCTTCGAAACCCCTTTTACTACACCACACCTGCTACCCACTTTCTTTGTAGGATGTGGGATGCGGGGAAGGGATGTAAATTTAGGAATTTCTTTTTTTTTTAAGGGTAATTTAGATATTTTATATATTTTTTTTTTAAAAGGGGGTGTGTTTATACGAGAGTGGAGGTGTGTTTATCATCTGCCTAATTTTAATTTATTATATGCATCTCTCCAATAACTTGTTTTTCTTATATTCTTACTCTTGGAATGTTTTTTCTACTTTTCTTCGATCCGATGGAAGGTAAGGATGAATTTTCCTCACTAAAGGGAGACAAACTTGATATGCCATATCACTGATATATTGCTTAAAGTTTGAGCTAGCATTCAATTCTATTAGGTTTGACATTTGCCATGCACAGTTTTTTAATATATGGATAAAGAATTAAAAAAAAATAATTGTAAATTTTTGTTTACATAGCAACTTTTTGTCTTAGATGATTTTAATAAAATTTAATTTATATTCATTGACAATGCAAAAGACTTTTACATTAACCTCGCATCAAATTACCGTGCATGATACTATGTTTAATTTTATAACAAACATTTTAAAATTATACTTAATATGATTTTTTATTAGTTGATGGATTAAATATTCTTATAATAATATATAAATTTAACTTTTTCAATATTATTTTAATATAAAATTATTCTTTCTTAAAACTATAAAAGTATTTTTTTTTCCACAAGTGTCACTTATAAAAGAAGTAAACATTTTAAAAAGAAAATTATACACAAAGTTGTTGATGTTGAAATTTTTTCCATAATTGATAGAGTACCATAATTTATTCTTTAACCTTACCATGGTGTTTGGTTGGATGAAAGTAAAAGTGCAAATAGGAGAGGGAAGGAATTTTAAAAAATATATATATTAGTTAGATTAATTTTTAGGAGAAAAATAGGAGAGAAGGGAACAAAATACTTCTTCATCTAATTTCAACTCTCCTCTAACATTAGGAGGAGGATATGGAGGGAGTTAAGAATTTTTTTAAAAAATATTTTAAATGTAATATCTAAAATATTCTTATTGGTATTTCTAATTTTTAAGATTATAAAGATACAATATTTAAATTAAACACTATTTAATTGAGTACAACTTAAGAATCTTATATAATTTGGGTACTGTTCAATGGAATCATTAAAACTCCCATACAACTTAGGAATTTTAGGTACTGTATAATGGAGTACCATAATTTATTCTCTGACCTTAAGACTTTCATAAAACTTAGGTGCTATATAACATGGTTGTATGTTTTTGGTTATCATTTTAAATATAATGTTGAATACAAAATCTGTACAAATAAAATGAGACTACTAGAATAGTTAGGAAAATTTAGAATCTTATATTTCAGTTAATTTTTTAGAAAAAATTGTTTTTGAAATAAGTTGTATGTTTGAAAAAAAAAACTTAAATTTACAAACATGTACTTATTTTGACAATAAACTATTTTTATGAATATAATATCTTGAAACCTATAATTATTTTTCAATCATATTTGTTAAGTTGATTCATTCCATAAAAACTGATTATTTATTACATCTAAACGAAATTAAATATCTCAAAATAATTTTTCATCAAATTTATGTAAACAAAAATTCATTTCAATTATAATCTTATATATATAATTGATTATTGAAATAATTTGATTTTCACAATTTTCTCAAGTACACCTAAGTTGATTCTAAAATTTTAAAACACTTTTTCTTAGTTTTGAAAACAATAAAAATTATTATATTAGCTGTGTAATACATGTGTTAGATAATTTTTATATATAACTTAAATTTATAATAACTTATGTATACAAATAAATATTATATTTAAATATTTAAATTTTATATAAATAGATATTTTAAACATATAAATTATAATTTATTTTAAAAAAACAAGTTATATTTTATATTTATAATAAAATAATTTATATTATAGCATAATATTATTTCTATTTATTCATAATTTATTTTAAAATATTAAAATATAATTCATAAATAATTATATAAATAAAAATAATAATAAAAATTCTTAAAAATCCTCTCATAAAAAAAAACTCTAAAAATATTCTCGTATAAGATAGAGATTTATGTTTAATATATATCAATTGATATAATTTCTCATTGTTGTTTGTAGACATCTAGTGCATCCCACCCACCACCATAACCACTTCCTCTATCACTCTCCCCCTCTCTCTCTCCCATGGCAACACCATTCTCTCTTATTAGAGATGACAAAAATACTCGTACATTTGTGAATAAAATCCACAATAGATAATAAATAGATAACATAAACAGATAGCAAAAAATGACGGATATGAATATTTTCTTGCCCATTTATAAACGAGGTGGGACGCAAATATGGTAGTATTCATACCCACGGATATTGACTAAATAATATTACTTAAACATTTATATTTCTATCTTATATTTTTTATATTATTTATTAATATTTCAAAAAACTATCATTAATTCAAGTTTAAAAATTAATATCAATTATTTATTTTTAATATTTTTATATACTTAATATCAAATATAAACTTAAAATTATTTATAATATTATTTTAAAAAATCATAAATATTCATAAATACATATGAATACCCACAAGTATTTATAAAATCCATATATATCGTTAATCCATAAATATCTACTTAACGACTACCTACACATATATGGAACAAGTTCAAGACGAATTTTTATCTGACAATATGGATACAAATACTAGGGGTGAGCAACGGGTGGGTTTGGTCGAGTTCGGGTGAAAAATGTCCAACCCGTTGTAAACCGACTTTGAAAAAATGTGACCCATATCCGACCGACTGAGCTTTCGATTTGAGGCGGTTCGGGTTGAAACAGATTCGAATTTAAGCGGGTGGGTATAATCGGGTTTGAATTTTTTTGTAGACCAATTTATCTTAACAAAGATGAAGCTTAAAACGATAAAAAATATTTTTAAAATAGTGTATAAAAATAGAATGAAGGTGACAATAGATGGTGTAAATAGATTCGTAGTTGAAACATTTACAAACTAAAGAAGCAAAAATAAAAGATAACAAAATTCATAGTTGTTACATGGAAAAGAAATATAAAGTTAGATTACAAAACCATAAGAAATCACAGTCACACAAAATGTACTCAAAATGGAGATAAGAAGATGGAAAAGAAAGACAAAGAAAGAAGCAAAAAGATAACTCTAAAAATGGACTAGTGTGTTGAGAAGTTGAATGAGGAAGGAGAAGACAAAATAAATATCTAAGTTATGAGAAAAAGGAAAAAAATAAGTTACAAATTGATGGCTATATTATACTTGAAATAAAGACTTTTAAATTTGGACCATTGTTGTTTAGTTATACAAAAGTAATAAAAATTTAAACTTATCTCATTTTCGGTTGGGTTCGGTTTTTAGCATGAGAAAAAGGAAAAAAATAAGTTACAAATTAATGGCTATATTATACTTGAAATAAAGACTTTTAAATTTGGACCATTGTTGTTTAGTTATACAAAAATAATAAAAATTTAAACTTATCTCATTTTCGGTTGAGTTCGATTTTTAGCGGGTTTAAAAATTCAAAACCGAACCCGCCCAATATAACCCGTATAAAATCAAAATTTTAACCCGATTTATCCATAAAACCCGCCCGAACCCACCCAAAAACAATATTTTTTTTCGGGTTTTTCGGGTTCGGTTCGGGTGTCGGTTTAATGCTCCCCCCTAACAAATACCTTACTACTAGTACTACCTGTCCTCACATATCACATTGTTATCCTTACCTCTTATTATTCTCTAACCTAACAATTTTTCATGTTTGAAATATTATAGCTATACTTTTCCTTATAAATTTCTAAAGAATGTTTTTCCCTTCATTTAATTTTATGTAATATTGGATGTTCAATTTATAAATAATCACTAGAAAATCACTAACACTAGAAAATCTTGTTGAAAAATGGGTGATCTATCCTCCCAACTACGTTTTTCTCATTTACAAGATTCAGACCTTGCTTATACAATCCTAACACTCTTTACTATAAGAGTTAATGGCTTTGTTTAAGTAAACATCATTCGTAAACATCTAAGTACGAGAAATTAACTACCTACAAATAACACTTCAATACTCGGGCAAAAGAGGTGTATCCTAAGTCCCATTTGAACCTTTAAGTTATAACCATTTGAACCTACTTCCAAGTACAGTTATGGTCGTGCATATAACTATTTGAACCCAGTGACTGTACACGTGTAAGCACGTGAACACACGTTATTAATGGTGTGGGTGTAGGTTCCTTAATTGTCTAATCATGAAGTAAGCAAATTCTATACAGAATTCAGAGACACATACCCCACTAATAGATATAAAGAATCAATATTTCATAGAATTCTATAAGCTGTTCACTCATTTGGAATCCAAGAGAAAAATTGTTGAGGCCGTTTTCTACTTTGTCAAGGGATATGTAATTTGGGGCGATTAAGAAAATATATTTTCTGTATTTATGACGGGCTTCCTTTTACTTTACTTCGGCAGAAACACTTCCTATCAAGATTCTCAATCCAGATACTGATACATAATAACTACAACAGCACCTGTGACATTCGAGAATGCTAGAAAGCACAACTGCATTGACTCTCTTGTCTGTGTCTGCCGGACTTTGTGCATGAACAATGCTTTTCCCTTCTGAAAAGCTCTTCCAGTAAAAAGCATGTGATTATGGGTAGGTAAAGTATATCATCAATTCCTTGTTTCCATTTACGTTGGTGAAGCATATATATTACTGTTAGTGGGGCCTGTTCTTGCCTCATTTCCCAGGCCTTTAGTCCTTGGCTACTTGAAGGATTACATCACTATTGCTTGCAAAATCTACGTACAATCTTATTTGAGAAATGACCTGGGTAACACCCAAAAATATAATACAATCATGGCCTGAGTAACAACAAAAAAGTAAAATAATATCAGTAAATGCAAGAGCCATAATTACCTGCAGAAGCAGTTTTAAGCCTCCTTTTTCATACCATCATGAAACTTGGGTCCATCAAGAATGAGAAGCCATGTCACTTTTACAGAGCAAAGGAACCTCGATGCTCATGTATCTCTTACCATCGAGAATATGAATGTCCATATGTCTTCCAATGATCCCGTCCATATCGTCTGTTAGAAGTTCTGTCAGAGGGAGATTTATAACCATCAGATGGTTTTCCATACCCATAAACATCCGAAGATCTCCTGCTTGTGCCACCTCTGTTACTGTTCTTAGAAGCTTTCCTTATCTCCTCTTCCAAATCATACTCCGCACGCTAATATCAACGAAAGTAAAAGCTTTTCAGTTTTTATATAAATTACAAAGAATAGACCCTTAATGAAAATGACAGAACTGAACTAATTTTAAAACTTTGAACAACTTCCTACAGAACCAAAGAAGGAAAATGAAAAAAAGAAAACTCTCTGCAGTTATATCATACAAAATTTATGTTTTCCCAACAGATAGAGCCAGTTAGCATGTTTCCCGATTAATGAGGCCAATCATGTGTTACAGACAACATTAAGTATCATAATCACATTTTCGGTACAATATCTAACCAATTAAAAAGGTACCTAGTCCAATACTAACTGAAAAAAGGCCCTCCAATACACCACTAAAGCTTAAAATTATAGGAAACAACAGGAAAAGGTGGAAGTGAGGCGGAATGCTCCATCACTTACTAATGATGAGAAAATTGTTTAAGACATGTTTGCAATATAATGCTGCCTATGAGATTGCATTCCAATTATTTTACTCCTCTTAAACATTTAAGTATCCCACAAGCAGAAATAAGCTCTACATGAGCACAAAAAATACTTCTTCAAAAGATAAACCAAAAACCAAATTCTCTATGGATGACATCCAACAACAGCAATCCATATTACCAACAACGAATATTGAGATTGTTAAAAACTTAAATGAGTCCAATTTTAAATGTAAAACAATTGAAGGTTAAGATAATTGGTATTAGAACCAACACACTGTTAGATAGCTGTTAGTTGCCAATCTGTTAATAATTAGACGTTAGTTGTTTGGTTAAGGTGATATAGTTACAAGAATTGGGGCTAAGGAGAGGCCTAAATGGGAAGGAGTTGAGAAGAGTTAGTCATTTGTGACCAAATTGAGGCCTTCGAACATTGGGAGGTTCACAACCCTGAAGTTCTGCAAGTTAGACACTGTATTAAGGGGATAAATCCCTTAATCTTTCTATTAAAATACCATAATCAAGTTTCTATACCAACCCTAACCATCATACCTTGAAATGGCATTCTTGGCTTATATGTTCATTCGGATTACCATGCAGGTGTCAATAGGGCTTGACCTCTTAGAATCAAGAGTCGAGTATTGGACTATTGGGTATGGTGCTGTTAATTGGAGGAAGATTAGTATGTCAAAATAGTAAGCAAGTTGGAAAACAGGACTACGGCTCATACTCATGTAAAATAATGGACAAAGTCATTACATTACACCCACTCTTTCGTGAGAGGAAAAAAAATATTTTGAAAAAATTAAAAATAATGGGCCATATTAGATCAGAAAATGAGTATAAGTGTAAGTTCATTAAAATATTTGAGGATAACTTGTTAGCTCTGTTTGAAAAAAACTAGCATATAATGTTTGCTCCAGCTTGAAAATATGTGTTTCAAGAAAGAAGTGAACTTGAGCATTTCAGTAGAGCATATTAATGCTAGGAAGGTAGTACAGTGAGCTGTTCGATCATTACTTGTCAACTATCTTTCTCCCACACAGCTCATATTCTCAAACTATAGTTTATAATGCATTCAAATTCATTTACTAGGAAAAAAAATCATGCATATAACCTTGGCTGGGTCTGAAAGCATGGCATATGCTTCTCCAATCATTTTGAAAAGCCTATCTGCATCCTTGTAAACCTCCTGTGAAATTTCCTTCCAAACTCGGCCTTCATCTCCAACTTCACTTCTTGCCAACAACTGACCAGCCTAGATTCAAACCAAAAATAGATAAATAAAGTTTCCTAAGTACAAAAGCATTGAAAAGTGAAAACTAAAAATATGGGTAGCTATAATTTATACCCAAAAGCAAATGAAAAGAACAGTTCTACTATGATCACTATAATGCAGGCACAAAAAGACACAAACCTTGTCTGGATGATGTCTGAGAGCTGCCTTGTGGTATGCCTTCTTGATATCTGTTGCTGTATCAGCTGATTTGATGCCTCTGGTGTTCACATTGTAAAGAATATAATTTAAATTTGGATGCTCTGAATTAGCAACTATCAATCGTAGATAAATGGGGAGTTCAATGCATGATTGTATATTGATACATGTATTAGAATTCAGACAAGGTGAAAATATGGATGCGAACATATTTTCAATTGATCATTGCAAAATAAATAAATTAATAAATGGAAAAGTTGTTCCTGGTGTAACTAGCTACTTTATAGTTGGTCAGTTTTGGAACACTGTATGGATCATATCTATGGACAAAGAAAAACTAGCTACTTTACAATTACATGCATCAATGTATGATAACAAATCTTCTATGAGAAGAAGTTGTAATTGGCGTGATCATGGGATCAGTGATCTTTTGAGCCAATTTTGGCATATGCAGCTGGGTTTTGCAGGTCAGGTTTTGCAACCTGGATTGCAAAGAAATCCTAATATTAGGGTTCCCTCATCCATGCCCTACTCTCTTGCCATCTACCTATTTGCACTCTCAAATCTCTCCTGCTCATTCCTCTTGTTCTTTCTCTCTACTATCTACCTTAAGTTTGCACGTTCTGACTTTGGCCATCTGTCTACTTTGCCTTCTCTGTACATGTTCTGAATTCAGCCACCTGCATTCTGGTCTCTGCATTAGATTCTGATTTCATCCATCTGTGTCTCTGCCTTGTGTGCTGATTTCAGCCATCAGCACTGCATTCTGATCTATCCCAGGGTTTTTGACTTCAGCCATTTGCATCTCTGCCTTGTGTTTCTGATTCCAGCCATTCTGGTCCATCTGTTCTGTGTTTTTAGTATTTTCAGCATTATTATCACTTGTGTGAACTTATGGGTATGATTATATGAATTTTCAATTTATGTTTACAAGTTTAGTTAAATGATGTGATTTAGATGTTATTTTTGTTATGTTTTTCTTTATGCATAAGTATAAGTATAATTTTGCAATTTAGCTAGGATTTTACAATCCTTGTTATAACCTTGCAATTTACAATCATTCACTCTCTTCCAAATCCTAGATAGGATCTCAATTTAAGTTTTGACTCCCAACATTGGTTGACATCAAGTTTTTGGAGCTGCTAATTGTGTACAATGACTAGAGTGAAAAGAATTTCTGACAATAATGACCTAGAAAACCAGTGAAAAGATTTATGTACAGTGTATAGTCAAAGCTGGGTTGTTGATAAAACCCTTCAGCAACTAGATGTGCATCATAATTGTGATGGAACCATTAAGAATTTGGTTCTGTAGAACGCAAAGGTTAATGCCTAAAGGGAATAAAGGACCACATATAATGGTGGTTGAAAACTGTTCAAACATGATGCAAATCATTTCAGGACCCTCATCTTTACAGGTCCATCTTAGATGCATTGAACTATGATACCAAGAACAAGGCCTGTCAAATCCTATCACAAAATCACTTGAGGAACATAGAAAAGTGCTTAAATACCAAGATACCCTAAGCATACCATTTCTCACAGCCTACTTCTCCAACCAGGCAATTTATTGAATCGTTTCTCTTTAATTTTTGTGATGCTCACCCTAATCATAGTAAGTGCACCTCAGGCTCCTGCATCTATCTTGGTCCTAATTGCATTTCTTGGTGGCCCAAATAAGAACCTCTATTGACCAGGTCCAATATGGAATCTGAGTACTGGTGCCTGGCCACCACTGCAGCTTAGATGTTTTGGATTTGAATACTCCTTTGCTTCAAAATTTTCAAGTTCAAGCATTAAGCCCTGTTATTTTGTGTGACAATCTCAGCCCTGTTTGCCTTTCCCACAACCCAGTTTTCCATCCATAATCAAAAACTAGGAATTGAATCTATTCTTTGTTCAGGAAAAGGCCATTGACAAGAGCCTCGCTGTTTGTCACATACCCGCTCAAGATCAGATGGCTGATGCTCTAAGGCTCTTTCAGCCCACAGGTTCCATGAGATGTGTGACATACTCAGGGTCTTGGATTAGTTTCCCCTGCTCCATCCTCCCCGGATTTGAGGGGTGAATATTATTAGAGACAGTAACTACATTCTGAGAGTAAATACAGCTACCATTGAAAGTTTCTCTTTCATGCTGACTCAGCTTGCTGTTTCTACAGCTGTTCGATCATTAGAACTTCAGTTAGTTTCAGTTTAGTTAGCTGTCAACAGTCTAATTATAAATGTATCATACATACTCTCATCATGTAAACTTAGTTCTTTCAGTTACAATTCTAATAACAGAATTCAACAACTTCAGTTTCTCTCAAGACACCATCGTAATTCTGAGGCTTTAGGAATAGAAGGAAGAGAGATAAAAGAGAATGAAACAATGAAATGACATTAACTGAGATGTATTACGATGATATGTAATGTTCATAAAACCTAGAGCACCAACCCTTATTAAGAAATCAAAATCCTAACTAATTAAGAAAATATATAATGATAAAACAAGGAAATATGGTACTGGTAGCCAATTCTAGGAGACGAAGAAAGAGGAAAATTAATCCTAGATGATAATGTAAGATATTCTGATATAATAAGATATTTTCATATATTCAAACATTTTTCATCTAGTTTCTCTCATTTTTTCTCATACTCTCTTGCATAATATTGGTATCATGTAGAGAGAAAATGTTGCACACAAATTGGATTTATGTGCTGCACTTGCATCCTCCAGATATTGATTGCATCAATGTTGAAAAAGTCCATCTTTAACACAACCACAAGCCAGCCATTACCACCATTTCTGCGTAAAGACTGGGAGTTGAAAGATTTGGAATATACTGGCATAGTATTGTTAGGAAACATTCTATGGTGAGGGTGCATATGAGGAAGAATTGTAGGGGATCAGAACCCCAAGTGGGCAGGGAATTAGCATAATGGGGGGTACCTAACTGCCAGTGTAAACATTGTTGAGAGTAATGGTGAATGGAGAGAACATATTCCTTGTGTATTGCAAAGCACAAGATGTGTTTAAATACAAAGTAGTGGGCCTAGGCCCATAAGATAAAAACTATAAGATAAAATTATATCTAACACTCCCCCTCAAGCTGGTGTATATAGATCATATGCACCAAGCTTGTTACAAATATAATCAATCCTAGGACCCCGTAATGATTTGGTGAAGACATCTGCCAACTGATCAGTAGAGTTAACAAACTGAGTAGTAATGTCCCCAGATAAAATCTTCTCACGAATGAAGTGACAATCTATCTCAATGTGTTTGGTCCTCTCGTGAAATACTGGATTTGAGGCAATATGAAGGGCAGCTTGGTTATCACATATGAGAGTCATCTGTGTAACTTCGCCAAATCTCAGTTCTTTAAGCAACTGTTTGAGCCAAATAAGCTCACACGTAGCAGAGGCCAT